TTTTCCTCGAAAAACTGATAGCCACGTCGAAAAAGGCATTCAATGCTGGATTCAACAATTCAATCTTTGTTCCTGGAAATGACCATCCAATTCATTATATACTTGTCTTGATTAACTAAATTTACACCTTTGTTGTCTGGTGGCTGATTTGGAACGCATTTGTGAGTCTGTTGTTGCTATCGACAGGGCGACAATGCGCCAAACGGCGAGTTATCCGACTTTCGTCTTCTCATGTCGCTAACGAAGCACGCCAAACGCCCCGTTGTTGTGCAGCGTGATGTCGCGAGGTCACATTGTCAGTCGGCTCAAACGGCATCGCGATAACGCGTCGCACGACAACACATCTTTTGGCGTGCTTCGCTAAAGACAGGACGATAAGACGACGGTGCGACAACGTGCCGTTTGGCGACAAGACGAAAAAGCGATAACGATATAGACTTTTTCATTTAAGACCGTATTTAAGTTGTCGCCCTTGGGTGACGTCATTGGGGGATACGGTGGACAATGCCGATACGATTAAGTACAACAAGAAGAATGGTTTCCTGCGGTGAACATTTTAATGATATAAAGATATTTCATAATTGGGGGGGGGGGTAAATAAACGTTTGTATCAGGAATATAGTTGATAATAATCGGTCAATATAGAAGAAGGTCTTTGGAAACTGGTGACCGTTGAAGACCGGAGAAGGTCGAACATAAAACAATTATTTCTTTTTAAGAAAATGATTAAATAGGCCTCCCATTTTATGAATAATTCCGAGCAAAAAATAAATAAAGTAAACACACAAGTTTACGCAGAAAATATCTCTATTTATTATGGCAAATGCCACTACGAATATTTTAATTTTGTAGATTTTCAGTATAAACAATTTATTGTTTGTAAAATTTGATAATTTTGAAACACATCTTTCAAGTTTGTCCACCTTAAACGGTAAAATAATTATAGAAAATTAGAAATATCACGTAATAGTTTTTTGTTCTCAATTAGGTATAATTCGGACTAATTCCCTACAGGTAAATCCGTAACGTACCGGCAAACGGTATTTAGCTGGGTTTTCGAAAAGGTCAATTAACCAATCATATACGGTTTACAGATCACGTGCTCCTCCATGTACCGAAAACAGGTCACGTGCTCCTCCATGCCTCAAAAGTTAAACGCGTACCAATACCCTGCGGTCTCCAGACCGCAGGGAATAGGGTAATAAAGATCTTAATCCTTTCTCTTGTAAGATTGGCAGACTGAAATTGCCAAAATTTTGTGTAATTGAATAAGCTATTTCATAAGAAGGATGGTGAAATGAATAAAAATGTTTACTTTAACAAGGTTAACGATTTGTTTTAATAGTAAACATATTGCTGGGTAACTGATCATGATTTCCATTTGCATCGGTCGAATGTTCACCTATCGCTCACTGTCTTAAGTAACGTGAGTGTATTCAGTGAGCTGCGAAGGGATCGTACCCATTTTCGTAAGATTCTTGATAATGAAAATTTTACCAAGCAGTTAAATCGTTCTAACTTGCTCATACCATACATATAGATAATGTATGTATGTCTCTGCTTATATGCAATACCCAAAAGATATTTTCAGTTTCAAGAAAAAAAACAATATTAATCTATGTAATTTCAAAAAAAAATGTAAAGGCTTAAAAAGTAAAAATTCTTTTGAATGTGCATGACAGTATACTATTTGTGTCGGCAAAAGTGCACTCTCAAAAAAAAAATCGTACATAACACCAATATATTTAAGCTGGTAAAGTAATATTTTTAACTTGATACTTTTAATTCATACTCTGCTTATCAAATGTTTAAAAAAATCACAAAAAAAAAAAAAAAAAAAAAAAAGAAAAAAGAAACAAGCTGTGTAACACGTTCAAAGAAATTCGTCATTAACTGAGTTATAATTTTACGTATTTTTGACGGTGCCAGTTGGTAGGACTCAAATCAGAAGGCATCAGAATCAAATCAGAAGGCATGACCAATAAAGTCCATAGGATGATCCATAACAAAATTCGAACCATAAATATTTTGACAACTAACGAAAGTGATGTAATCTGATGTGATGTTATAACTCTTAAAAAATGCACCCTGGTGATTTATGATATCACAGCCAAGTGCCGATTGTATATACAACATATGCACCTTGTTAATCAATATGTTACGACCTAGTAACTTATAAATAATTTACTGGGAAAAGGTCTTTATTTTTATAATCGTAAGAATAGATTTTTAATATCAAAATTATCTTATTATCGTCTGTTGCGAATCTAAAATTATGAAAGTCATTGCCACATGGTTTTCGTTCTTTCCGGAATATTTATAAAAATTATATCTTTCACTGGTTCTTTGAAATATTTTTTAAAACGGCATAATGAAAAAGAATTAGTAAGTATTGACAAAAGGCATTCTGCTATTGTTATATTAAAGCTTGAAAAACAATCATTAAATTATACTGGCAATCTTATTTTCATGGTTGTCACAAATAGGTCGGAATTTTTTAAATGACAGAAAACTAGAAAATTACCTTTTAATTTATAATAGGCAATTTCAGTGTGTATGGGTGTTCATGAAATATTGAAATTTGATTAAGATACTAGCTTTTATCCTGGCATTAGAGAAAATCTAGATCTTATAAATAGTTACTTTGAAATTTCACTGTTTCACTCCGTAGCGATCTTTGATTTTGTATTTCTTTCTATTGTCTTGGTATTGAATTTATGATTGCGTGCGTAAATTTTTATATGCTAAAATCATAATTGAACGATCAGTATTTACGCATTTAACTTTTCAATAAGCTAACATTCTATGCGGCCTGCATATATAGTTTTATCCCCCATTTACGTCACATCCGGTAAGGGAACTTTTTCCCTGACTGTAATCGCTTAAATGTTGTGTTGTCACTATAGACCACCATAGAGTTGCGATATCAAGTTCGATATGTAAAATTAACTGTCCGCCCGTTTCTATCGTTGCGAAGATTTTAACATTTGAATCTCACGAGGATTAAGTTAAGCTTGCGATAATTTCAACGTTGAATATTCGAGAATGTAGAATGATCTAGTAAATACGAAAGGGCGACGGAAAAAAACTTACATGCCAACTTCTGTCTTTTAACTGGCCCAGACAAGACACAGTATATTTCAACCTTAATCGTCGCTGACGGGTATTTATATAAATACACACCAAGTTTATTTTAAAAGCAGTTTATTAGGTATTAGTCGTTTTAAACGGACAGTCGTTACTAAATATAATCTACTGTGCTAGGGGGCGTGAGGGATGTTGCACTCATTCATTATCTCTCATGTACAGACTCAATCAAACCGAGTTTGCAATTCTTATGTAATTTTGTTGGGGTTAATGCTTCCGAGGGATCACTTTGTTTCCAGAATTTTGAAATATTTGACGTCACACTTGACAACGTATTATTGATTGATCGCTTTAGAAAATTGAAGAATGTTTAAGCTGTGAATGTAGTATAATTATTTATTAAAGCGTCGGATATCAGTTTCAAAAAATAACATGTATGTATTAAACTTTTATACAAATTATTCTATATAATTAGATTTAAACATCTTTATGTAAAACCTTTTTAACAAATTACTTTTATAAATACATTTGAAAGGGAAACCCCAAACAAGAACGGTAAATCTTTGAAATAGTACTTTCGTTTAAAAAAAATATTTGAGTACTCTTTTTTGAAATAAATTCAGTCATGTCGTAAGATAGAAATAAGTCATTTGTTCTAGTTTGACAGTATTTTACTTGCAAACTTGTTATATTTGGAACATGTTCAAAATAATTTTAATAATTATTTTTTTCCTCGAATAAACATCCAGTGACGTCACGAAATGTAGTTAGTGTGGGAAATAATCAGAAAATGTTGCATTGAAATGAAAAGAAAACGATATATTTTATAAGTTAAAGACAACCTTAAAATATAATAGAACATATTCAATATAAAAGGAAGAAAAAATATTCTTTTTCATGGAAATTTAGAAAAAGAAAAGCACTGAGTTAAGAAACAAATTATAATATTTCATGAGAAATTGAGAAAAGGAGTAAAACTAAAACTGAAATAGCAAAGGATTATGGAATTCCAAAGTGTACGCTCTAAAATAGAAATAACTGACTAATTATTCTAAATCAAATGCTTTTCAAAATGGCGGACGATGCTTTACAATCAGTTCGTTATATGTAAATCTGTTCGCTATAAAAACTCCTGATACAAGGAATAATGAACATATTTTGAATGTCCCAATGAGTTCGTTATAAGCGGAGTTTACTGTAATATGATGAAATGCATTCCTTGTTTATTTAAGGTTTGGAGGGATACATTTGCCGTTGTGTTTTAATTATTTGCTTATATTTTTCAATTGATAGATGTGGATTTAGCTACTTTTAATGAGATAACCGCAGTTACTTCAGTGCTTCATACACGAATTTTGCGTTACCTCGTAAAAATGGTCTCAATTACGTTTTTGTGCTAAATTTAGTGTAATATGACACAAGTAGGTTGAAATGTCTCAGGTACACCGAATAAAAAAAATCATAAAGTAAAATGAACGTTACTATATTTAAAGATATCAACGAAACTAAAAATCGCCATCAATACGCTAGTCGGGTCGTCAATTTAACGAATAATCTTGTAAAAAAACATTATCTTGGAAATTTTTTTGATGAGGTTTAAAGTATAATGTTTCAGAAACCGTATGCGCTAATTCATTTCTTCCAATTTGGTGTACAATAAAAAATGTTAGTCAATTTCTTATGATTGCGATGCTCGTTTTAGCCACTAATTTGCACAATGCTGCGTTACTTTTGCACAATTCCTGCGTTATTTGCACATCTCTGCGTTACTGGATATACGCATTGTATAGCAATCAAATGAAAGGCGATATATCTTTAATACACCAACCACGTTGAAAAGCAAACCACCCTGTATTATATGTAGATTGTTTAAGAAATTAATAATGAATTATTAATCTATATAAATTTAGGAAAGCTGGAGATGGCAGAGTCTTCTGATATCGAGATTTGTCGAAAAGTCATAGTTAAGAATTATGTTGCACTCAAGAAGTATTTGCATCCTGATCCTATTATTGATTGTGAGAAAGACTTTGAATTACTCACCGTTACAGACAGAAAAAATATCCAGGTATTATATCAAATAGTTTAAAGATCCTGTAACACAATTTTTTCATGGTTTTATTTCATAAATATGATGCTCAAAGTAAGATTTGTCAATATTGTAAGTTCCAATAAGCATTATTCGTAAAGATATAACCCAATTTAACATTTCATGTAAATAAAGGGAGGTAATTAAAAGTTTATTTTCTACAAATTCTAAGTAAAATTTTCCAATAAGAAATGAATGCATGTAATTTATCGATTAAATATAATGTGCACAAATATTTGCAGTACACATTTTACATATTCTTCGATGTTTGAAAATTGTTTTATTTGCATAATTATATACATATATAACTTTTTGCAAGTGTGGTATTCACACAGTAACATTATCAATCACAAAAAATACAGGATCTTTAAAGGCCAATAAAATTTAGTTTACTTTATTTAATTGTCAGTATTTGATGTCTTGTGCAACAATGGTGAATTTTTATTTCAATTGTTGATTGTAATATAATTACTTAAGAATAACTTATTCCAAGCTTGGAACTTTGAAATATTCTTTAAAAATATATTATCATTTCTGCATTAGTTATTTCAAAAAGAGAACTTTGCAAACTATTCCTTTCCTTTAAAAAATGAAACAAAAATCAAACGCTTATCAAACGTATTAAAAATGTTATCAACATTAAGTTGATATTAAGATTAACAAATGTTTATTGAAATAATACAATGTTACAGGATAAGGATCCAACTGATAAGAATGAAACGATATTGAGAAAAGTTATATCCAAAGGTGCTAAAGGTTACACAGAGTTTAAGGAGTGTCTTAAAAAGACTTGGCAAACTGAATTATTAGAGCTGATTGTTTGTGCAGAGAATGGACAGGACACCAAAGAGATAGAGAGTCTGCTTGAAGAAACTGCAGTGTTATGTCCAGAGTATATCAAACACAGAGGTGGTAAGTTGATTATGCTTAGCTCATCTGAGCACAGTGAGTTCTGAGGTGAGTTTTTGGTACTGCAAGCTGTCGGTCGTCTGTTGTTCAGCGTTCGCCATGTAAATATGTATTTAAGGTAGTACACCCCTAACGCAGTATCTTCACTTTGAGGAGTATTCAAATAGGCTAGAATCACTGTAAAGTGTATTGAAGCTGAGGGGCATGGGTTCAAACCCTAGAAGAGGCAACTTTTCTTTCTTTTTAACATTTTTATTAATCTCTCAGATCCCTAATGGAAGAAAAAAGTGTTTCATTTAATTATTGTAGGTATTTATTTACTAAATAATGTCAAATTTAATAGCAAAAATGATACCAGATATTTTCAAAGTTTAATAAAATAAAAACTACACGGTAAAAGATTTTATATTTTGCAAGACCAACCGATATATATTTAAGAAAATTTAGGCAAACTTTGAAAACAGCCCCTCATTGTGGAAAATTTAATAGATATTTTAAATAAGGCTTTTTACATAGGGAAATGGCCAAATAAGTGTAAAAAGTGGGTGGGGTAAGGTTACATTCTTATACATATTCAAATCATTTCGTTAAAAAAATCATTTTGCTCGTTTAATTTGTTACCTTAATGTCACTTTTTGTTTCTTAACAATGAGCTATAGAAAACATTTTTCATAACGATGATATTATAGATTATTTAGAGTTTCCTCATTTCTGAAAAAAGCCTTTCTAAAGGCAAAGTTTTATCCATGATTACTCATAAACCACACTGTAAATTTTGTTTAAATTTTGCATACAGGTGACATTTAAGGCATATAACTGTTCTATGTTGTCAATTTTACAGTTCCTTATAGCGCCCATTATGGGTGTTCTACCTTAAACAACATCTCCGCCTGACCAAAATTATCGATTTATTACAAATATTACAAACCTTCTATATATAAAGTATGTTTGTACCTTGTTTTTCTTTCTCTAAAAAGTTATATCAATCATAGCATATAAACATAAGGTCAACGTTTGTCTCATTCTTAGATTATTTTACTTTACATGGACTTGAATATAGGGAGACACAAGTATACGAAGACATGTGAATGTTTTGTCCGTAGCAATGCATGGTGACTTCAACAAATCACTAACCATGTATCCTTGTTAAATAGGTCAGCCAGCCAAAATGATTCCATAGTCTTATATAACAAGCACATATTAAAGATTATCTTCTCCGAAAAAAAAAAAAAAAAAAACAATACCGTTTTATAACGCCCTTTTTCGTCCGATAAGTATAACATTTCGTTCTATCATAATATTTCATAGTCCGAGCTCATTTCAGCCCTCGTCGGCGGCGTTAAACGCCGTCAGAATAACCAAGCAACGCACCCGACATGATCGTGTCAAGCTTATATAACGTTTCATAACGCCTTCTCCCCCCGATACTACATGTCGTTCTAGATCTATCATAACGGCCATTTTCACACAGAGACCTGAGTCAGGCACTGAGAGGGCTAATGACGGCCCGCAAAAGGTTTTTCGAAGCCCCCAATAAATCGAGGAAAAGCTCGATCTCCTCTATTTCAAACATGTATAACCTGTATTTTTTATGTACAGCTCGTCTTAAACAAGGCCGTCCACTGGCAGGTGTGTAGCGGAAAACTGAACTTATCAGATTTTAAACAAACGTGGTCGACTGAATATTATTGTTTCCTTGTGTAGTACAGCAGAAAATACCTATATGTTATAGCTTATGACACTTTTTTCGTACCATAAGTTTCATTCGTGGTTTTCTTTCTGGTTTCAAAGCGTTAAGTGGCGTACAGTTTAAAGTGTGATAGTGTTGATGTAATAAACAGTTGGTCTGCGCTTTTAGTGGTGTGTTCCATATTTGTTACCGGACAGCTGCCATTTTTGTTTACATGTTCATAGCCCTTGCCTTGTATGGAAAGCCGGGTTTTGATAATTTTGGGGCCTTTCCTATTGAATTAAAGTTGAAACATAAGGTTAAAGGCAATTCAACACAGCATTGTCCTAAATTTGCCCTAAATTATCATTTTTGCAGTCCTATTAATAGTTTTTACTGCAACTTTTTGTATTCATCAGATTTTTTAAACAAAATGGCGCAGTCGATGTGTGTTCTTGAAAATATACAGGGAGGTAATAAGAACGGCGAGTGCATTGATGTAGAATAATGCACGCTTCTGTAGAAAAAATCCGATAGTGTTAGAATTATATTTTGATTTTAACATGGTTGTCAGACATTTTCAATCAAAATTGTACCGAAACAGACTTTTTGAATGTAAAATATTTACATCCTATTCTTTATCAAAGATTACATCCTGTATTTAAAATATTAATAACCACGTGGTAGAAATTATTTTAAAGTCTGATTGTATTGACATGTCAAATATGAATAAATTCATTTATTTATAAGATTAATTTAGATATTCGATCCAACTTCGGTATAATCAATGTAGTTAACGATATTTAATATGGAATATATAAATAATGTTTAAAAAGTCACAGTATATAAGCTCTTATCACATCATGTTAAATAAATGCCTGGTATACCAGTGGTCAGAAGATAACTGTTGTCATATAGTTTTTCTTTATTTATTTTTGAAGTATTTTTTAAAAGAAATGACCAAGTGTAACAAACCAGCAAGTAGTACTCCCAAAATGCGTAAAAACGCTCAATAAAACTACATGTATTTACGACAAACAAATAAATGTGAACACGTGTTATAAGGTGCTTTGCCGAAAATCTACAGCATATGTATATATTGTGTGTTTTGACCGCTATCAACAGGTTAATAAAATCAATTTAAATTCCGTATTAAGTCTGATTATGAATAATAGCCGAGGAATTCCGATTAGGCAAAATTAAAATGATGGAGAAATCAGGAGGAATTACTTCCTATTATCACCCCTCCATGACAACGATTTGTTTTCATATTTTTAATGTAGAAATTTCATATCAAAACGGTTGGAACATATACCGTTGTTGGCGTTTGTTCATGCAATGAACTATAGAAGAAATATTTTCTTCTTTAGCTTTTCCACAAATGTTTATTTTCAAGCACAAAATGTAATAAATATAAAGATGGAAATACTTCTTTTTTGTATATGAATTTATGCAATTATCAAAACAAAAGTTAGGTAGTATTATGCATTATTAAAGTTAAACATAGCATCTGAAAATTGTGAATTCTTATTTGCCATATGCATTATTTGTTCCTAACCATACACAATTAAGGTTGGTAAACACCTCAACATTTCATATATTATATAGAAATATTGTCACTGATTAACACTTCTTTCTATTCACTTTCCAGAACTTCAAGGTGACCTGATTAAATTCTACAGAAGAAGGTGTAGTTCAATACCTCTCTCACCACTTCTTGAAGAAATAGAGACACCTCTAGCTGGGTTCTATGTGATGCTAGATATAGTCGACGTAGAAAGGAAGTCCCAAACTTGTCATGAAGAGGAGAGAACACCTATCAATTCTTTGAAAGACATGTTTTCAACCGGAAGTGAAGATCAACAAGAAATTTATCTATCAGCTGATGCAGGTTTTGGAAAAACCGCTTTCTCAAAATATCTTGCAATAACGTGGTGTCAAGCTCATTGTCATGATGAAACTTACGCCTGTTTTAAGGATGAGGAGTTAAAGACGTTATTTGAATTTAAGTTCTTATTTTTGGTTTTATTAAGAGACTGTACCTCTGTTTGTAGCATTGGCGATATGATTGAACAGCAAATCACTAAGGAACTACCTTCTTCTGCACCAATACATGAAGTTTTAAGTAGAGAAAAATGCTTGATTATATTGGACGGTCTTGATGAATGGACTCATCCTGATAACAGCTGTAGCGAAGTAACAGAAAACATCCCACATCGGTACGTACGTGATAATTGTGCTATCCTAACGACAACCCGACCGTGGAAGCTTGGTGTTTCAAATCTCAAAAGAAGTCAAATAAACAAAAAAGTAGAATTGGTTCACTTAAGTGCAGATTCTACACGGAAACTTGAAGAAAATGCTATAAGAAAAGTGACAGGTGTCCATAACGATAGAGAATTAAAGACTCAAACACAGGACTTTGATATGGTGATACGTGACCGTGGCCTAGAACACATGCAGGAGATTCCACTCCTCCTCATGGATATAGTTTGCCTATGGTGTAACAACATTCCAATAGGAAATTCAAAACATGAAATTTACACCAATATCATTGAATTTCTATTATCGAGAACATCAAAGAAACACCCGGCAGCCCAACCATCTCGTAAATCGTCTGCCAGTGAAATTCCAGAATACTTGAAAAGTCATGAATTTTGTAAAAGGTTTTATAGTACAGAACGTTACTTTGAGGAATGGTAAATGGACAAA